GGGGGGGGGGGGGGGGGGGGGGCGGGGGTAAATACAGGCACAGTCGAGGGAACGTGCAAGTCTCGCACCCCGAAAAGGGCCTTGAAGACAAACCGCTGCACGACTGGAGGGGGTTGGCCCAGGGTGCTTGCACCCACACCCCAAGCAAGCAAGCAAGCAAGAGAGAGGGGGGGCCCGCCTTCCCTTTGGTTGAGTTGAAGAAGACGTTGTAGTGACGGCATGGCACATGCAGTCAAAATGGGATCCCAGTATATCAGTATATCCTTAAATCGTTCAAGGCCTCATGCGTATGCCGGCATGATACATCGCAACGCTGGGTAGGCTTTGAATGTGCGGAGGCTTTGAGCAACTGGTGCATGTGTTCAACGAAACAGCCACTGCCTCAGACGCGAGGCCTTCACATGGTCCGCGCAGACAGTTTCAGATTCCGTTTCTTGAGGTGCCATTCGGCGAATCTTCGCGGCTTAGGTCATGATTGCATGTTGACGGAGGGTGCATCCCTGCATGTTGTCGTGGGCTTGAGCAGGACGACACTGCCGCTTTCAAGTCGACTTCTTCAAGGAGCCCAGGCCTCGGCAACGTTTTGAGCAAAGCTGATTTTGCCGGTGCCGTGACGCGTGAGAAACCCTAGGTTCGACGCAACGAATCCGTGCTGTATGTCCATTGCTTCGTCGTCAGAGCTGGTGCCAGGAAAGGTGTTGATCAATTCTGCTGAGAAATTTAACATTCACCTGCTGTTGCTGCGCTAGTTTTGAACTTGCAGCTGAAAGACGTTTGAACACCACTTTAGTGCAGCACGTGTGGTCGGTTCCTTGAATCGGTCGCCGAAATGTCAGTTTAACGGGGCTGTGAAGGCTGGCAGATGAGGTTCGCACCGGGCCTGGCCCCCAAGTCCCAAAGCCAAGGAGTTTTCCGCTTCACGTTGGGTCTCCAGGCCGCATCCCGGATTGCCTGGCGTCATCAGCGAGCATGGGAGCTGGTCTCAGATGTCGTTCGGAGGTCGAAGTGCTCGTTCCGCATGGCCCGAGGTTGCATGCGACGGCCCAGGTAGTGAAGCATCTACCACAGGCCTGAGCATAGAAGTAGCCCGATTCTCAACGACCTTGCGCAGCCAATCCAGGTTCAACGTAGTCGGCGGAATCTTCTGGCAAGGGACCGATTGCCACAAGCATTTTGATTTAGAAGCCCGGGGTTTGCATGGCTTGTTTGTGTTACTGCTCGTGGTCAGGAACAGCACAACGATGCCAATGCTGCGGAGCCCAGAGCTCAGCTTGTCATGTTCGCGCTGCAAGCTCCATACTTTGGAGCCGTCAGCGCCAGCCAATATGGATGCGGATGGTGACCGGGCAAAGTGTCATCCGTGGGCCGAGAGGGAGAAAGGCCAAGTGAGACCACCCAAAAGAAAGAGCACATACATCATATTACAGTCTTAAATTAAATCTTATACATATACAGATACATCGTCAGTCCTGCCGGTCATGCCGGCGAGGAAAAGCATCGTGATGATTTCAGGCGTAGTGTAATCGCATCCAGGGTTTCTGGTGAGAAGTGGCCTTATGGGCAAAGCGGTCCACGAATGAATGATCTGTTCGAACACGTATCACACAAGATGGGGAAGTAGAGGAAAGGTCGCTGGCCTCATGGATGATCGCGAACAAACCCAGAAGCGAGGAGGTAACCTAGGCCGAATCCCCGACGACCCGAGAGAACACGTATCGTAAAAGCGGGCATGCGACCATATCCGAAAGTATGAGAGCAACTATGCCAGCTCAACAGTCAATGGCTGCCAGTCGACACCGTTGCGGAGCGAGTGCTTTTTTAGGAAGGAAACGGCTCGCCGCTGTGCTCGGCCCTCACACACTGGCACAGACGAAGATACCCAACGTCTAAGAAACCCTGGACTCCCCAGCTTCTCTACGAACGTTGGCATGTCCTGTGAGTTCTCGCACCAATGATCGACACCTAGCCAGAGAAAGCTTCATGATTGGGTTAAAGAATATTAAAGCACACATCTCGCTGGCTTGTGGCGTTTGAATGCCCTACGGCGAGTTGTGTTTCATCCAAGGAATGCGATCGAGGTGACTTTGATTCCAGGCCAGCTACTTAATGTTCCGAAGTACGGAAGATGCTAAGCTGCTAAGCTGGCTGAACTGTCTTCAACATTACCCGAAACACCAGGCGATCTCACTGGGAATGAAACACAGTGTGCACATGACATCGTTTGCGCACCCTGTTTGTGGTAGACGGATCCATGAGCACGGAGTGCTTCTCGAAATAGGTGATGGTCAGCCATTCCGCGATTGAAACACCACAGGCCGCACCCATCCCTTCCTGAAAGGAGCCCGCTTGAAAGGCCCGTCTGATGGGTTTCAGAGAGCTTAGGTCGGACTGACATGTGACGTGGGCTGACTGCTGCTTTAATTGTCGAAGCCGGGAAGGTACTCCTGGTGATCTCACAAAGCGTGCATGCAAAATTGGGTCAGGGATCTGGACAGGAAGACGCTCTGCCCAACCCGTATTTCACGCCTCGAAGACATGGAGCCTTCGTGACCATCCTCCTTATCCTCCAGGGCAGCACAGGTTGTCGGCGGTTGCAAACACAAGCATGCCAGAAGCATCTCAGCTTGTAGTCAAGGCTGGAACTTTCTGATTTATCCAAGAAGCTGTGCTTCCTGGGCACTGGCCTCAGCTTGACTCAATACGAAATTTACGAAGTAATTTGACTCTGATTTTTCAGTTCTCCGATTCTGGATGCTCTTGTGCCCATGCCTGGTAGTTTCTGGTTTCTGAGCATGCACGCATGCTCGCGCGACTGTGTGGTCAGCCATGCCGTATGCCGCAAGGCAGTCTGCCTTTTCGTGGTGTCCTACTTCTTTGAGCTTACAACTTGGACGGATTGCAGTGTCTTCAAGCATCTTTTCGCAGTTCTGTATTTCGTGCCTGGTCAGTCTTTACTTGAGGCCTACGCTGGCCCTGGCGGGAGTGCGACATGGACACTTGGATGGCATTCAGGCTTTGCATTCGGATCAGGGAGGGTGCCATGTGCGTGTAAACTGTGCCACTGCAGGTCTGCTCGCAATTGTGGTACCCTTCCTGCTTCAGCTTTCGATGGGCGAGGTCACCGAGAGCCGCATGTTGTCATGTTGGCGCTGGGAGTGATGGACATCAGATGCTGGTGCTTGGCAGGCGAAAACTGGGAAAGTAGCCGCACGTGATGCCTTTCAGTTGGAACTGACCTCAGTTCTCCTGAGTCGAGATTTGCAGAGGCATGCGACACGACTGGTGCTCCTACCTGTGCTCTGAGTTTACCCCTGCGGCTCCAATCGTGCCGCATCTGGTGCCGGCTTTTCGTATTGCTGGGGCCTCATCCTGCGCTGGGAGGCAGTTTTTTTTTTTGATGTGGTGCTCTGTGCTCTCTTGGGCCGAGGAACTGGCAGCTGACTTTGAGGCATGCCACCACAGATGTACAGCAACAACCTGCGCGCACCTGCGTCCATGCACCTCGAAGGTTTACGATGCAAGGTATCCACCGCCACTCCTGTACAAGGTCGTTTCAGAGCAGGGCAGCTGGTGTCGTCCGCCTCTATGCAGGGTTGCGAGCTCATGTCCAGATTTTCTCTTCACCCGCCAGGAGCTTCGCGTTGAAAATGGCCTGCGAGAACGTGATGTCCGCTCGGCTGGTGTTTTCGCATTGGGGGTGACAGTATCAAAGCTAGCCAGGTGCGATACACGGTGTTGGCACCGAGGCCTACATATCCTGTTGCAAAGGCATGTCCAGCGTCTCTGTTTGCAGGCATGCTGAAGGACCGCACTATGCCCCACCTTTCTACATGGACACGGCGAGTTGCTGCCTCAGACATGATGAAGTGTAAATGGGTGTAAGGGGCGCAGTCAATGTAGCCGGGCGAGGCAGTGTTCCGTGAACATCAATCGCCTGCAACTGTTGCTTCTGGAAGAGAACAAAAGCAGACAAGCAGCTGTCGGTAGCCGTATTTGATGCGGCTGATTCGACGGTGCCCCGTGCGTTGGTGTTCTATTGTCTCTTGTTGTCGGTCGGCTCCCTCCCTCATTGCTGTTTTGAAGGATTAGTGCCGACCGGAATACCTGGCCTGAGCTCACCTCGCCGTCGGAGGAAGATGGTGGAGGAAGTGCTCTTGCATATGGGGGCAAAAGCCCGAAGCACCTGGCTTTGGGATGCAGGCATCCATGAAGCCAGCTGCGTATTGACTCGGCCAGTACCGAGAACGCAGGTGAATTTCCACTGAATGCCTTTCCCACGTCGCAGTGAATGACATAAGATTACATAGACAAATGTCCAATCAGACCTGCAGTTTTGGCGGCGCTTTGGATGAGGCCACTGCCGATCGTAGCTGGCAGGCAGGAACGAGTCACTTCGCCAGGGAGGCTTCTATCATTGATTTCGAAGCCGCCCGTTCTCTTGTTCCATGCCCTGTTTCGACCCAGCTTCGATCTCCACAGTTCGGGCCGGAATTGTAGCTCGCTAGCCGCTAGCTGCACATGGGCCTGGTGGGCGCCGCTTCTGCCTGCGATGTGGTTTGAATACTGGACTGTTGAGGATGTGCCACCTGCGGCTTCTTTAGTTCATACTACAGACACAGTGCCAGCAGCATGAATCTTTCAAGCGACACGCTGGTGCGTTCTACTTGTACAGTGTGGGGATCTAGGGTGACGTTGGCGCGGTGGATCTCGGTTAGTCTCAGTGTCTTCAGCAAAGGCTGGGCAGGCTAGCTGTATTGTTGGCGCGGCTGCCCTCCAAGAGGCCCAGTTGATCAGGAGACACAAGGCCAAGACAAAAGCAGCGCGAAACTACTGACATACACCAGGACAGTATCACTGAGTAGTGTTCGTTGGGGTTGTTGCGGAATGGACTGGATTCCGGATGTTGACGACAGATGAGTTCACAAACCCGTGGAATATGCAATGCAATCGACGCTCAATCAACTGCTGAACGGAAAGTCGATTGAACGAAGCAACCCGCTGCGGGCAGATGCGGCCAGCATGATCCGTGAGTTCGCTAGGTTTCTCTTCGACATCCTGGAAACCAGTGGATCACAACGTCTCCAGGTGACATCTGGATTCTACCCACTACCTGTTGAATGCGTGGAGAGAAATTGAAGCGACCTGAACAGGCCTGATCCGGAGATGACAGTTGAGGCAGCCTCCTTGCATGGCTTCGTTCGCGTTTTAGGGTCTTTTGCTGAGTGGTACCATCATTAAATCATAAAAGCAGACATATCGGCATTGAAAAGTCTTCTATGCACGGTTGCCATGCGCAGCGACCGCTGGCCTCATTAATGTCTCATGGAGTGGGACACGCAACATGTCATTGTCCGGATTTGTAGTTGTCATCTTGAAAGCATGGGACGTCACTAGGAGGCTGTAACATAGTGACATAGTGGGAACATGCGGGAGGATTACAGCACGCTAACGGGCCGGTCCGACATCCAGCAGGTGGAGTTCACAGGCATGCTCAAGTTCAGCATCGTGCACACATTTCGGGAGGCCATGAAGATGTGCCCTAGCAACCAGTGTACATAAGTTCACGAATGACCATCCAGAACATTCAGGGCTCGGGCAGGCAGGGAATGTGGAGGTACCTCCAGATGGGCATTCGAGAGCGTGACCTCGAGGAGTTGAAGGACCAGATCACATGTAGCAAGAGCGACGATCATTCGGTGTGGTGTTGTAGCTGCAAGCCAGGAGTTCCTTTTTCGACAGCCACTTCACGTCCTGATTGCCAGTCAGGTCTGGTGGCATCGCTGTGAGTGGCACAGAGTCTCAGACACAGGTCATCGGAGTCCTGCAGACAACCTTGCGAATGTGTGCCGCTTAGTTTGTGCTGGGGATGTTCTTTGCAGTGTCGCTTAGAGACTTAGAGAGCGAGCTTATGTTCTGGAAAGGACATGCAGGGACAGGCAGCGACTGTGATTAAAGAATGCAGGCAATGGCGCCAAATCCCGCAATCTTCAAGCATCTTGCGACCGCGAAAGGTAGTACCATCGGCCCTAACCTTACATGGGAACCACACAGACTGAGCTAGCCGCTGGGTCGCCCGATCGTTTTCCCTGTGCGAGGATTTTGCCGTCAATGCAGTATACTTACGCAAGCGGCCTATTCGCCGAAAGGTGAGCTCCCCCCCGACCCGTGGCTGGCCAGAACCTATGCCGCGGAGGGCCGTTTTGGCCTAAATCTCCTGTCACCAGCCCTGTCCATCGTTGAGCTTTCGTCCCATCCTGTGGCTGTTTGGGCTCTGTCTCTTCGAGGTGTGGTAAAACGATGAAAAGACTTAGCGAACCCCGCGAGCGCAAAAAACTTTTGGAGAAACGCTGCAGCAATGCGCAGTGACAGGCAGCGCACACTGAACCCTCAGAATCTGCAGTTGAGGGGTCCAGGTTTCTTCAGGCAAATTTGGCGATGTTGTTTTCATGTCCAGCTGAGAGCCTCAGACTGAACAACATCTTGCGACCCATACTTTCGTCCATTGCAGAAGCTCGCCTTCTGTGTATCTGTGGCAGTCTCAGTTGTCTGTTGATGAGATTTCGAGGTGAGATTGCTTCAAGCGCTTCTCCGGAAATGCTTGCGTGGTGAATGTCTGTTAAGCACCTCTTGCCTCTTGCTCTTCTCAGCAGGCTTCTAGTGAACCGCAAGGGCACCGTTGTTAAGCCTTTCCACGTCGAACAACGACAGACCTCGCACACGGGTTCACGGCGACACTCATGGGACATCCAGACCTGAACAGTTCCCCAGTACAGGCTCGCGTTTAAGAACGAGATCACGTTCTTCAAAGGACGCAGCAGACCCGATTGAACGACCAGTGCCCGACAGCCATGCTGTTCAGAGCGAACCGTGAGCCTTGAACGAGGCTCTGACTACACTGGCCTGTCCAGTCGATCCCTTGCAACTGACGTCGTGCAGGAGTTCGGTTCAAGTTTTGCCAACATCATGTTGTCACAATGTCATGTGGTCGAGCTTGCAGGAGATCGTGATATTCTTGTATCTCTTTGACTTCGACACCATCTCCAGATTAGTGTTGCTCCAAATTGGCATGTCCTTGTGCTCAGCTGATTGGAGTGACACGCTTTGCAGTTGCGTTTCTCTTTCGCCGGTATGAGTGCGTTTGCCTGCATGTGCCGGCTTTTCAGCATGTCAGTCATCGTGGGGCGATGGACAGAGGGGCATGGGGCGAAAGCAGGAAAGTGTACCACGATAGCTAGCATTGCCCAGTTCACGGCTGCAAGCTGACGTGCCGGGCTGCGGCACGCGGCACCCAGTCAACCGTAATCTCTGCATGAGACGAGCATGTCCTCACACATGGATCTGCTGCAGGCTTATTGGTGCCGTGTCGTTGGGGCTTTTTGCATTTCGCGCATGAAGTCTAGCGCGGTGATGCCTGGGTTTCGTCCATGGAGATGTCATTGAGGGAGGGCGGGTCCACGGCTGGGAGTCCGGGGTCCTTGCAGCCTTCCTAGCCACCCTAGCTTGCACAATGGTGCCCACAAGCACCAGCACGCGCCCTTCGCTAGAAGGTCAATGGGGCAGAGTCTTGAGTGCTCTTCTGTCTGGGTGTGGCTCCACGGGGGCAGGGGCAGGGGCTGCAAATTGCAATGCCCCGGCCTAGGTCTGCTGCGATCAGCTTCTGGAAATATGCACGCACCCCTCCAAGATCATTGCTTGCACAGCCACGCATATGCAGTGTCTGAATCAATCATTATTGGCGGTATTGGTGTTCTTTAGTTGGGAGTGACCAAGGTGTAGCACGACTTGGGACAACGTGGTCCCAAACTGAGGGGAGATCACTCGTGTCATGTTGAGAGGGGGTGGTGAAGTGCCGGATCTTGGAGCCGCCTCGAGTTTTTCCTCAGCAACAGGGACAGCATGTGACAGCCGCACATTCCGGTGGCCGGCTTCTATACGAACAGTTTCCGTGGTTGTGTAAGATGACTTGTTCTCAGGGCGGCAGTGCTGATAGTGCTGTGCAGGGTATGCGGTGGCAAGTGCAAGAAATCTTCCGGAGTGAACTCCAGAGCCTGCAGTGTCTCAGCATTCTCCTCCAATAGCAGGCCTTCGTCTGTGAACGAGGAGCATTTAAGTAGCAGAGTCTCAACGCGGCGAAAGGGTAAGGGTGCAGCAGTGCCAGTGTCTGCGGCACGGACATGCTGCCGAGTGGTATTGGTGAGCGCCCCGTATCAAATCAGACGCATCTGGGTAAGAGTCTGAGTCCGGGTCAGTGCCAGACCGACGCTCAGGGTGTTCACATCTGTAGCCAAAGCTGCAGGTGGGCCACGAAGTACCACTGGCTCATAGTCACTGCGACAGTCCTCCTCAGCTTCCCCAGCCACCCCGGCCCCGGTGTCAGGGTGCATGTGTGGCTGAGGCGGGGCGATGTTGACCTGTTCGGGCGGAGATGTTGGTCCCTCCTGCCCTGCCATTTGCGCTTCAGTGGCCTTCTGGTATCTGCCCGTCGCAACCCTGCCATGAAAGCCATCATCGTGTTAATTGGTGCTGACAAGCATGGTGCAAGCATACTGCAATGGGGAGTGACGCCCCTGATCCCATGATCGAGGGCAAATCACACGCACACACAGCACGCGTGCAAATTGAAATGCGGCACGACAAATATTTATCACCACGGTTTCCACCCCGGTGCACCTTGCTGCATGATGTAGCCTTCGAGTGTTACATCACGTGCTGCATGATGTCACAGTTGTGTCTTCATGGACTTATTGGGATGATCTACGCTGAGATAATGTTGTTACAATCACGGAAGCATCGTGTTTGATGGACCTTTCTGTCATGCATTCTTGGTCAGGACACTGTGTTGTGTTTGCAGCCAGTCGTCGCACATTTAAAACTTGATAACCCGCAGAGTTGCAGAAGCGGCTGTAGGAGCAACAAGATAACGGTCGCGACAGAAATCTTGAGGAGAGAATATGATCAGCTCGTCAGAGGCTTCAGTCAACAAATATGGATGTCAGAGTGCCTTATGCACTTCAGCATGGTCCGGATAAAGGAGCAACAGCGATCAGACAGAGATAGTGTGGAGGACCCAGAGGATGTCTTTACGAACCGGGATTCAGCTTAGGGTTCGCATTCAGCAATTCAGAACCGCGTCTGCCTGGCACTTGCGACGGTCTGGAGACTCGTGCATGGAAGAAACAATAAGAAACATGCAGGAGTTTCTGAAATGCCGAGAAGCACTGGCAATGAGCATTTCTGCATGAATCTGCAGCCGCGAAAGTGGGAAATGCCACTGCCACTTGCACCAGCATCGTTTCACATGCACTCTTTTTGCTGTGCGGCACCGGCGTCTCAGGCTGTATTTCTTGCCCTGGGCTACTTACGGCCGTTGCACTGCCAGTTCGCGGGCATTGCCAGATTCGCAGGCTGGCCTCAAAATTCCATAATTTTGCGTTCGCCGGTTCAGTAGAAGCTGCGACTCCGGAGAATCTGGTGTGTTGAGGCTGATGAGACTTTAACAGAGGAGGCAGATGAGAGGCAGCAAAGCTACCGAGTGCATGCTGCACCGAATTTTGCGGTGCATGCACCTGCATGCAGGGGCATACGCTACCTCAAGTACGTTTTGTATCCGCTTTCGGCAAGTTGGGGTCTGCTTCTTGGCTTCGTTTCAGAGCTTCAGACCAAAGAGATGGAGTAACTGTGAGGAGGAGACGGGGTTGGGGGGCAGGATAAGGGAGGGATGGGCACTGGGGCCGAGGCGAATAAAAGAGCACCGGGCTGCCTGCGTTAATGCATCACCTCAGGTACAGCCTATACCATTACCCCTACAAAAACTGGTGGAGCTGGGTGATTTCCAGCATGGTCCGCTTCTTGCACTGCTTTTCGTGTTATGCAGCCAGCACTGTCAAGGCTGAGAACCGGCATACCACGCATACCACGCCAGGCGGATTTCGCCTACACATTTGGCTTTGTGAACATGATGCCGTGCGCAGCCCTGTTTTATGACAGCAAGTGAGCAAGTGTCGCGCAGCTGCCCACCGATTCCCGAAACTACTGAAGCTTGTTGACCTCATGTCTTGCAAGACCCTTTCGATAAGATCCATCAAGCAGACCGTCATCGCTAGCGGCCGCTAGCGCAGGCAGATTTTCATCAACTACAAGTTGAAATCAGTTGCTCGCTCCTTGGCACTGCGGCGTGGCACCGTGGACACCTTTGGACTTCCTTCGCCTTCGCTGTCGAGGAAGTGCTTCGTGTTGCTCCGTTCAGGCCCATATGCCCTGGCGTGTTTTGGTGTACAAGTTCTTCAACACGTTCATTGTTTCTCGGATGCAGCCAGAGTGAGTCGTGTGAGCTCACATGACTGGGTGGTGGCTTAGGATGATATCTACGCGTTCGTCATTGCAGCAGACCAGTTGACGAACAAGCACAGGCGAGCCTGATTTGATTTGGAACGACAATAACAATCAAGAACCATTCAATCATTCAGGAGACCGATGGCAGGACGAGCCACTAGGTCAGAAGCAGAGAAACTGCAAGATCAGGTCTAAAACCCTGCTCGCCACAGCTAGTTGCGAGAGCTCACCCCTACATCCTTACAGTCTCATGTAAATTGCATCAAGGTGGGGCTTCCAGGGCTTTGGGATGCCAGAAACTTTCAGATGGCACACCAGCGTGGTGTATGTTGGCTGGTTCGTTCACGTCGTTACGCAGCAGCAGCAGCACCCGAACTTCACATGTCTGTCTTCTTCCCAACTCTGCGGCTCTGCGGCTAGTTGTTTTGGGGAGTCCGATGTGCTGTGGCAGTATATTGGTGCTGGAACAGGCATCCGGCAGTCTCATGCCAAAAAGTTTGAAAGTTAAAACATGTTGTAAACCAATGAGCAGGTACATGACGTTGCGTGATGACGTGATCTTCTTCATTTTTCTGTACCAGCAGGGCCCCTGGAACAGAATCATGTGTTTCGCTTGGCCTCCAGTCACAGCAGCACGAAGGAGACATATCTACAAGGTGGACCCAAATCGCCCCGACGAGTTTGGCAACGTGTCAGTCTGTGATTCTGAGAAGGAGACGGAGAGAGTTGCCAGGCGCGTGGCTTGAAGCATAGTTCCTTGCTCTCAAGGTCTATGACGACAATCTGGACATACACAAGAATGCCTCCGCCAGCTAGGCCCCTTCAACGCATGGCAGATCGCACTGTTTGATACTGAAGCCAGTAAGACTTAGATGTTTCGATGGTGAAGGTTTGATGGAGAAGTTCCGATACTGCTTACATCTGTTTACTTGTTGAAAAACCATGTCTACAGCACCCACAGGTGCTAATTTACGGGAAGGGACCTATAGACTGGAGCATTTGCACCCCAGGACTGCGCATGAACCAGGCCTCCAAATGCCAGTCCCATGGGACGCCAGGCAGCGCGTGGCATTGGTGGGCATGGCTGTGGAATGAAGCGTGTCATCCTCCAATGCGTATGTTATCGATGCTAGTCCACATTGGCCCAGACGATTGGCTGACTTTGGCAATCCCGAGGTAAAATTAGACGGCCGAAGGAGCCTCTGCAAGTAAGGGATTCTCTGTGTGTGTGTGTACTACCGTTGTCCCACATGGGTCTGGGGGGAGGGGGGCACGTCCCGTCGTTTGCGCAGGCGGACAGAGAGGAGGGTGGGGAGCTGCTCCCCCACCTCTCCAAGTAAATGCATCTGCAATCGGCCTGCGCCTGGGTCCTCAGGGACAGCTAGCGGCGCCTTCATCTTCACTTTTCATTTTCAAATCATCTCGTGCTGATTCGTGCTGAGGGTTTCACGCGGGCCTCACACAGCGAGGCCGGGACCCATACCCTCAAGATCATCCCATTTTGCTTTGTACGCCATTTTTTACGTCTGGCATGCCTGGCACAAGTCCACCATGAATGCACGCACGGACCCTTTTATCCTCGATGATCGGGATCCGTGCATTGCCTTCGGGCGCTTCTCTCTTTCTCTCTCCCCTTCAGCTCTTTCAACTAGTTGGGGGCTCTGCGTCACAGATGTCACAGGGACTGCTGCTTGCCGCGTCCACGGCCCTGCCTGATGGAGCGTCCATCATCGCAAGTGGTGCTGCCTGCGTTTGCTGTGTCCACAGTGTGTGCGGTGGCATGCCCATCGGGCGAAAATTTTGGAGTTGGCCGTGGCCGTGGCCACTGTAGACTGGCTGTACTTTAAAGTACTTTAAAATAAACTGTTAATGCATTACCAAATTAGCACATTAGTAGACCCTGACCACGGCTGATAAAAATGCAGTCCTGGACCCTAACACTCCGGATGATGCAGAAGCACACTGAGCTCAGCAGAAACACATGACGTCCTGTGCGCATGCCCCCATGATCATGATATGGGTCTCTTGAAAGGTCAGTCCTTGAGCCTCGCATTGGGTGGCTGAATACCTGATAGCTGAAAGAGCTTAAGGAGAGTTTTGGCAAAAGAAGCGGGCGGGCTTAAATGGTCGAGGGGCTTGACACGCCCCTTAAAGCCTGCCCAAGTCATTTGCCGCGTCTCCCTCCTTGTTCAGCAACGGCCCTTTAGGCCTGGGGAGGGGTGCGACCTCGCCTTCCACGCCCCGACCGGTGGGTTCAGCGGCGTCAATGAAGCAGCAACCCCCACCCCACCCCACCGCACTCCACCCCACCCTAAACTGGCCCTCACGTGAGGTCTCTGCTCACAGCGTCCGGCTCCCAAGTGATCGGCGTGTTGTGGAGGTATGGACTGAGCCGTCTTGCGTCGAGGCTTTGGCTTTCTGGGCCCCGAAATTGAAGCCAGAAACTGCACGAGGCCGCCGGCACCGGGACAATAGGGCTGCTGCTTCGGTCTTCACTGGCATTCTGTGGTCCCAGACTTGAAACTCAAATTTTAGCGGAGCGCGCTGGGTTGTAAGTGCGCGTACGAACCCGTATTCTTAGCCGCCTTTCTACATGCGGCCTCACGCGGCCTGCAAAAGCGATGCGGGTGTGTCGCGGATGCCAACGTCGTCAACTCGGACCTGTCATCCGAGCTCCCAAAGATGTGGGCTCTGCCTCGGCCCCTAACCTTGGGTGCATCGTTTGTCGCGTTGCAGCATGTTGCAGCAATGCATGAAGGTATCGGTCATCTTCAGGCGAACTCGGCCCATACAAACCCACAAGACCCGTCCAGCTTGTCTTGTTTTGCCCACGAGTTCGGCGGTGTTTGCTCTTGGTCAGTGCAGGTGGCGAAGTTCCGCAATGAGGCTGACTGGATCAACATGTCAAATGTGTTGGTGACTTGGATTTCCCTACGACTGCAGAATTCCTTTGTCAAGTGAAGGATGCCGGACCCCTCCAGCAACCTGACGGCATCAATCGGCTGGGGCATTTTTCAGTTCATGCAAGAGGACCTTGCAAGGTATCTGAAGATGGACGCTACACATTTCGGCATCACAGCTCAGGCTGGGACGGAACGGGACGGACATAGGCGAAAAAGTCTAAATCCAAGCACGGGAAGGCAGTACAACAGAACATGTTGCCGTCCATGCCTCCTTTGCGCAGAAAAGGTCAGGATTGCTGCTCTGAGGTTTACTGCATGTGCCCGGCATGTCTTGTATGGCTTCAGCCGAGGATGTGCGGCACCTGGCCCAAGCCAACTCAACGTTCTATTTCAGACCTTGGCCTGGCAGAACTTATCTTGTCAGCCTTTTCCATATCCCATCAAAGCTTCTGATGTGATGGATTCCTCTCTGTTGCTGAATGCAGCAACCAGCACTAATGCTGGCACTTTCAGTCCTGGCGAAGGCTTGTCCTCTGCCGAGGTTGCGGTGAGGTTAAAGCAAGATGGTCCAAACGAGCTGGCACCGCCTCCGAGCGAGTCGTTTCTTCACATTCTTGTGCGGCAAGTCCAGAGTGTTTTCTTCCTGCTTACAGTTATTGCGGCCTTCGTTTCGCATCTGTGTGGGGATTCCCCAAGAGCAGTGCTCCTGCTGTCCGTCGTGTGCACAGTGAGCCTGGCAAACACATTCGGTGAGTACTCTGGCCAAGATGCTGGAAAAGCTTTGAGAAGCATGATCGCTCCAGAGACTCTTTGCTTGCGAGATGGGAAGCAGTCAAAGGTCGCGGCCTCCACGCTGGTCGCAGGAGACGTGGTATTCTTGCAAATGGGTGATGTTGTGCACGGCACTCAGTCGCGGTCCCTGCAGACTGACACTGAATTAGAGCATGTATGTATGTGATATGATCCTTCATAATCAAAACTATTTTGCTTGCAAGGCCTGCAGATGCAGTGCTCCTGGAGGCTGTGGATCTCAAAGTCAACGAATCCATCCTCACAGGGGAGCCGGCAGACGTGAGCAAGACCATTGAAGCAAGTAGTGATAGCATGCCGCTCCGCTCGAACATGCTCTATAGCGCCACATCTGTGACCACGGGGCGTGCAAAAGCGGAAGTGATGTATACTGGAATGCAGACACAGGTTGGACAGATTGCCAAGCGACTACAGGAAGGAAGGAGTTGGACGGAGAAGAGTCCACTCCTCGTCTCGGTAAACTCTCTCGGCCGCAGATTGAGCATTGTAGTCATCGGCGTCGTTGTTGGCGCCACCTTGTTGGCCATCGCAACAAAGTACCAAGATCCTGCAAACCCGTGTCCTGCACATGACTTCCACTGCGCCGTCAAGACCGCACTGCTCCGTGCCATCGTGATGTCCGTGGCAGTTGTACCGCATGGTTTGCCAATGGTTTTGACCATCATGCTCCGAGCAAGCTCCAGCCGAATGGCTTCAAAAGGCGGTCAGGTCATGAAAGTATCAGCGGTCGACTACATTTCTGCGACGACTGTAATTTGCACAGACAAAACTGGTACTCTTACCGAAGGACGTATGACAGCCACAACTTTGACGGGTTTCTGCCGGGATGGTGCTGAAAGCGCTGCAGGCGGCACCAGTAAGGAAAGCACATTGGCATTCCATCCTCTTCGAGGCTTTTCACCTAACGGTGGGTTGTTCGTAGCTTCTCAGCTTACGAATGAGCACAAAGAGCGAGTGGACGCTGTGTATGATGTGCAATTGGAGCGTCAAGATTTGGCGGTGGCGGGTATTCCTGATCTTGCCAACCACGATGGGTCAGAGGCAAGCATGGATCAGCTCATGGCAACGGCGCATCTAGCATGTGCCTTCTTAAGTTGCTATCAGACATATCTCTACCAAGACCCAGACAACAAGCAGTGGACGGTCAGCGGTAACATGACAGAGGCTGCGCTGAAGGTGGCAGCCGCAAAGCGGGGCTTTAAGGACAGCAACAGCTCTCTGCTGACATCACATCGTCGGCTCCCGGAGTTAGATATTCCATTCACATCAAAGCGTAAATTGATGGCCAGCATTCACGAGCTGCCAGAGAATCGCAAGTTGGAAAGCTTGAAGTTCCCACACGATTGCACCCACATTGCTGTCATCAAAGGAGCTCCTGAAAGGCTTTTGGACGTAGCCGGAACTGTCGCTAAATTTGCAGCCGGAGCGTTGGAGATCCCAGGCGAAACCCTTACAAAGACTGACAAAGATGCACTGCTCGCAGCAAACACAAGGCTGAGCAGCAATGGTTTGCGCAGCTTGCTCCTTCTCGTGCGACCCTTGGTTCAGAGCGAACTGGAAGCTCTCGCAGCGTCGCACTCAGCAGACGAACGGCTCAGTCTCATTCTGGAACCATCCAGGGTATGTCCGCTAAGTCTTTGGGGCATTCAGGACCCCCCACGGACATCCGTCCCGCAAAGCATTCGGGGCTGTCACGAGGCAGGGATTCGTGTGATTATGGTAACGGGTGATCAGCAGGGAACGGCCGCTGCGATTGGGAGACAAATAGGTTTGTTGCAAGCGGACGACGACGAAAGCTCTGTGACTGCAAAGTGCACTGACCTGCATGAAGTCACCCCTCCGCCAACGGTGAACAAGCGGCGGCTATCCCGACAGGCACAAGAAGTGGTGGAGACAGCCTTCCCAAGCAGAAGTGGCAGCAGTGGGTGGAACAAGAACGTTCCGCGGCATGGCTCCAGAAGACTGTCTGTACATGATCAGCGCGGGCCAACGGACCAAGAACCCGAGTTCAAGTCTGAGGAGGATTTGATTCGCATCACATCAAAAGTCAAATGCTTCGCGCGGGCGCAGCCTTCAGACAAAGTTGCCATAGTTGCTGCACTC